GTCGCCTTCATCAGATGAAGAATGAATCGGCCGAGGTGTGCCTAGTGCTATCTAAAAATATGATAATGGGTGATGACGCAAATCCAAAGTGATGTAGAAATTTTCAAAAAGGTGTTCACACACATGTATAGTACAAGAAAAAAATTTAAATCATCATAACAAACGATGTTTTAACATAACTTTGCCATCTAGGCCAATTTCAAACAAGAGGCCCATGGGCCACATCGCTCACCTGAGTAACTTGGGTGAGGCAGATCTTCACCAGATTCCCCCTCTTGCTATACCTATCATGCCCAACAACCCCCTTCCCTTTTTTATTTTAAAACTTTAGAATCTACACTACCCAAGGATGCTTCCACATTAGTTTCAGCTTTCCTGGCCCAGTGGTCTTGAGAAGAAGATTTTTTAAAGATTTCTTCTACATATTTCTATGTAAAACTTGGATTCCCTATTGTGGCCCCGCCCCACCCCCAGGGGTCATGATTTTAACAATTTAACATCTACACTACCCAAGGATGCTTCCACATAAGTTTCAGCTTTCCTGGCCCAGAGGTTCTTGAGGAGAAGATTTTTAAAGATTTGTTCTATATATTTCTATGTAAAACTTGGATTCCCTATTGTGGCCCCACCCTACCCCCGGGGGTCACTATTTTAACAATTTAATATATACACCACCCAAGGATGCTCCCACATAAGTTTCAGCATTCCTGGCCCAGTGGTTCTTGAGAAGAAGATTTTTAAAGATTTGTTCTATATATTTCTATGTAAAACTTGGATTCCCTATTGTGGCCCCGCCCTACCCCCGGGGGTCATGATTTTAACAATTTAATATCTACACTACCCAAGGATGCTTCCACATAAGTTTCAGCTTTCCTGGCCCAGTGGTTCTTGAGAAGAAGATTTTTAAAGATTTGTTCTATATATTTCTATGTAAAACTTGGATTCCCTATTGTGGCCCCACCCTACCCCCGGGGTCACTATTTTAACAATTTAATATCTACACTACCCAAGGATGCTTCCACATAAGTTTCAGCTTTCCCGGCCCAGTGGTTCTTGAGAAGAAGATTTTTAAAGATTTGTTCTATATATTTCTATGTAAAACTTGGATTCCCTATTGTGGCCCCGCCCTACCCCCGGGGGTCATGATTTTAACAATTTAATATCTACACTACCCAAGGATGCTTCCAAATAAGTTTCAGCTTTCCTGACCCAGTGGTTCTTGAGAAGAAGACTTTTAAAGATTTGTTCTATATATTTCTATGTAAAACTTGGATTCCCTATTGTGGCCCCGCCCTACCCCCGCGGGTCATGATTTTAACAATTTAATATCTACACTACCCAAGGATGCTTCCACATAAGTTTCAGCTTTCCTGGCCCAGTGGTTCTTGAGAAGAAGATTTTTTAGTGACCCCACCCTATTTTTGTCTTTTCTTGATTATCTCCCCTTGTAAGGGGACTTGGCCCTTCATTTTAACAATTTAAATTCCCCTTTACCCAAGGATGCTTTGTATAAAGTTTGGTTAAAATTGGCCCATTGGTTCTTGAGAAGAAGTCGAAAATGTGAAAAGTTTACAGACGGACGGACGGACAGACGGACAGACGGACAGACGGACGGACGACGGACAAAATGTGATCAGAAAAGCTCACTTGAGCCTTCGGCTCAGGTGAGCTAAAAACGTGTGTCTGTGTGGGGAGGGGTGGGCGTTCACAAAATTGATTGGGTTGGATTTTCAAAGTTTTTTTTTTTTTTTTTTTTTTTTTTTTGCCTGACCAAATGCTGAAAAAATTGCGCATTTTGATAAATTCATCAAAAACGCATTGTACAATAATAATGTTATTTGTGGTTGAGTTAAATAAATTCAAAAATTCCCTATTTATGCAATTATGGGCAAAAAATTATCAAAATCTAATTTACATCTGATTATTCATTAATAAATTTCTGTTATTTCAGACTATAGTAAGTATATGTAATACATGTTTGAGGCTCATAGATCACATGATCACCTGAGAATTTTATGCACGATTTGAGGAATACATGCACTTGTGTAAATTATAGAATTACTAGTATTTTGACTTTCTCCTTGGAAAGCCCAATATGAAGGAGTGTGTATTTAGAGGCAAACATCTTAGTGCGGGTAGTACTGTCTCATGACAGCATCTTGTTTACTCTGTACGAGAAACTGTTCGTTTCTAAACTTTGATGTGAAGAATGGAAGAAGGCATTTTCAGCTAATGGCCTATTGGATCAAGAACATATTGTTTGGAATTGTGCTCCGCTTCCGCCAATGCAAGGGCAATGTATAAAACTCTGTTCCGCTTCCGCAAATTCAAACTCAATGTATAGAATTGTGCCCCGCCCCACAAATTCAAGGTCATTGTATAGAACTGTGTCCCGCCCCACAAATCATGCGAGATCATCATCCTGTATGATGAATGGAAATCCAGTCTTTGAACACAAGCTTCGAAGAACTGCTATATGAAGTCGTTAGGAAATTGATGATTTTAAAATCCGTGTAAATCTTCTACATGTACATGTACTTTCCTTTATTTCTTTATTTTAACTTCAAAATTATGTAATGTTTCAATAAATCTTCTCATGCAACTAGATTTCTGGTGTTTTTCTACATGACACAAAGAACATACTTACATGTAAGGAATCACTGCATGTCTAGTTAGTATCATAGTCTTGTAAAGGTTGGTTATTTCAAGTCCCCATATGTTTTATTTGTCTGATTCATGTACATGTTCCCAGAGCTAGGGTGGAGTCAAAATGAGCAAACAAGGTTTTACAAAGAAATATAAAGGATTAAAAAAATCTTCTCAATATCAGCAAAGAACTGGGTACGGTATGTATAACGAGGCGGCCCTGTCTCTAAATCTGATTGAAGTTTTTTACAAACATGTTCACTTATATTACGTCATTTACATGACTATACATCTACTGAGTCAAAAACTGCTTAAAAAAATAGACATCTTTGATATTGATTATGCTTTACAATATCTCCTAAATGTAAACATTTATAGATATTTGATAGATTTCATCATTTCAGTGACAATAATAATTTCAATTCTAATCCTCTCACACTTCCTTCGGAAACATTTACTTTCTGGGATCTTCCAATGTTTAACGTCATTTGTTCTATAGTAACGATAAAGTACTTTTCATATTCTTTCGGAATGAATAATCATCACAGACGGAAGTTGACATCTTTAAAATTCAGATCTGATGTGTATCATTTTCACTACTTTGGGTTTTGTAAAGAAGTGAAAATGTACAGTTATAAGGTAATTAATTAATTAATTATTGTTGAATGAATGAAAGTCAAGTTATTTTATGGTGAAATACTTATTATTGATCCAATTATTTGAATGGAACTATTTTCCGTATAAGATTTTCCGTATTTTTCGTATATTCCGTAAGAATTTATACGAATTCGTAAGAGTTTATACGAATTCGTAAGAGTTTTGGATACGAATTTTCACTAGAGTATAAAAGGGGAGATTCTTCCGTAAATCGGGGAGTCTGCTATTTTTGATGTTAGGGTTAACGTAATTATTTTGGGCTTTTAGACGAAATTGGTAATTGTTTGCTAATTGTTAAATCAGTTAATTGTAATTTGGTAATTGGATTAATTTAATTAGGGAAAGTTTAATTTTTACAGCTTTGGGGGTTTATTTACGATCATATATCTTGATTATTTCAGGATCCGATCGTATCTAAATTTCCATTTGTATTCATTGATAATTAAGTTTAATAGATAGGTTTCAGCCATATATTTCGATTATTTCGAGATCCGGCTGTTTATTAGGATTTATTTAATATTGTGAAATTTGTCAGTGAAAAGGGCGGTTAAAAGGCCTGGATATTTTTTTTTTGCATTAAAATTGTTCATGTTGGTTTTGCAGACTCAATAAATTTATGAAACTTAAATTTCGAGTTAGAGTTGTTTACTCAGTGTTTAAAAAGGGAGTTTACTCCTGTCTTCTAGAACCACTATAGCAATACTTAAATGAGATAGCCATCGAGCGCTATCTCGCTACAATTTTTGGTGTCAGAAGTGGGATAGCCATTAAGCGCTATCTCGCTACAGTATGCCAGGGCATCAACGATAGTGGGAAACGTGAGATAATTTGCATAACGGGTTTCTCACAGAGAAAACAAATAGAAATGGAAATATTAGTATATCTAAGGAATCGCTGTCTAGTTAGTAAAGTATGCCAGGGCATTAAATAATGATTGTAGATTTAGACTTTTAAAATGTAGACTAATAGGTTTAAATTACAAGAGGCATCCCATGTCAATTTCAATAGTCCTCGCCCACTGACGTCAAACACAAAGACATTCGCACGAGATTTACATGCATATTTGGCCTCCTTAGCATCAGACACAGACTGCATGAGACAGATGCGCACGAGATTTGCATGCGTATACAAAAAAATTATTTGTATCGATCTGCCTAATTTACATTCCGGAACACACAGCTTAAATCGGTTAAATATAAAAATTTCAAAGAGTTATCACAGTGAAGAAAAAATTAGAAATGGAAATATTACAGTATAACTTTTGCTGAATACACTCCATGGGGACAAAATATTAACTTGAATACAAAAAATTATTTGAAAGTCTTGTTTATTTTTCTTTTAACAGAGAACACACAGCTAGTAAATCGGTTAAATATAAAAATATTTAAAATTCAGCGTTTCAGTGTAAAAAGGTGAAGGTCCAATCCAGAAAATAGAATTATATGTCAATTCTGTACTAAAATTGTTGTTTGGTATGGCGTATGGTAAAGAAAAAAAAAACTCCATGTATACATATATCTAGTAAAAAAAATTCTTTTACTTGGAACTGTAATTCGGAGAGTTTTTTTCCAATCTTTTTCCTGAAAATGTAATATTTGGTCGGACCTCATGCCACTAAATTTTAGTACATGTATTCAACAAGTTTAGAGGATCAATATCATTTGTAGATCCGCTGTAAATGATAGAATTAATTGATACAAAATTCATTTATTTATTCACCGGTTTAGTAAAGATTAAAATATACATGGATTTTAAAAATGAAATATATCGAATATATAAACATTTTCTTATAAAGAACTTGCACCGGATTTATATCAAATCATATTACGTTTAGCATACACATACATATTAATTAACTGTGATAATGTACATTTATCAATAAATTCAACACGCATCAGATTTAGCGTCCAATTCTTTTGGGTGTATAGACTAGTATATGTAAAAAAAAAAAAAAAAAAAAAAAAGTAGACTCTCCTTTAAAACAAGGTATTTTCGCTTCCTTTCGCAATGTTTCAACAGAATTTACAGGGATCAGACACAATCAACAGGAAATCCTCTGTGTGTGTGTGTGTGTGTGCGTGCGTGTGTGTGTGTGTGTGTGTGTGTGTGTGTGTGAGGGTGTGTGTGTGTGTGTGTTTGGTGGGGGGATTTGTTCAGGAGCGTAAACGCTATAGAAATAACAAAATATCCATTCTTTGAATTATGCAGTAACAGAGTCATTCACACTTCGATTTATAGCGTCCTTGAAATATGTTTTTCATGTTTTTTTAATAAAAAAAAAACCCTTCGCGCGTTTACGTACTAAAATACTTAAAAACACCTAAAACTTTCTTCAGTCCGGAAGTTGCTTCTGTTGTCGTTTCTTTGGAAACCACCTCCTTCTTTTTTACTTCACCCTCGCCCTCTCTCGGACTTTCCATGTCTTCCCCTCCAACTTCTCTTCCATCTTCTGTTACAGAATGCTCTTCACTGTGTTCTTCGACTTGTTCACTTTGTTCAGCATTAATGTCGTCTGCTGGAGTCACAGTTTCTTCATCCACATTTCCACTTTCAGTTGCAACTTCATCCACATTTCCACTTTCAGTTACAACCGGGTCATTGTCGCTTTCTTGGATTGACTCTGGTGGATTTTCTTCTCGTTCTCCAGATGTTTCGTAGCTTTCGTTTGAGTAAACAGATTTATCCTTTGTGACGTTCACTTGTTCCTTTTCAGACAGCACTTCCTTTGGAGGATCATCCGAGGACTCGATGTGTGCATCATTCTGGAGAAGACCTTTAGAAGTGGTATTGGAAGACATCTCTGGCATCTGTAACGGCTCGAGGCCTCTGAATCTGTCCGTGTCTTTCCACCTGATGGTAAGATTATACGTCACCACTGCGTACCTATCTGGACAACAGGCGTACTTCTTCAACCTTCTGTGAACGGAGGATCCGATGATGGCGATTTTAGGACTCTCTTCATATTCAGACATATCTAATCTTCCCTGAGTGTTGTTCAAGTCCAGCTTTCTTATGTCATGTGTCCAGGAACCAAAAGTCCAAATGCAGTGGAAAACCTCTCCGTTGGGCGTGCATTGTGTGGTCAGGCGGGTAGGAGGGATGTACACCACTTGTCCAGTGTGGTACACAACCAAAGGGAGATTATTATAAATCAGTCCAGAGTTACCTCCAGCACTAAAAGTAAATGTAATAAAATTAATGAAAAATCTATTTTTAAAAAAGATGTTCTTTTCTCAGTATCAATCGTTTTATTAAATTCACGGTATATGTGCAATATCGATCCACTTTCATGAAAATTAATTACATGTACTACCGGGAAAAATCCTTCGAGTCTGGTCTATATTTTGTGATATATATTTTACACTAGAGCTTTCCTGCTGGGACTGCTATCTCACCTAAATTTAACAGGAAATGTTTGATGAACAATATATGCAACATACCAGAAATTAGCTCGATCCTCTCCTTGGCCCCCAATAAAGATTATATTGATAAACTGTCAATTTTTTATATAAAAATCTATATACTCAGTAATTCTGATATTAAAACGAGCAAGGGTATAAACCATTTTTTTACAAATCCGATTTCCGTGGTCTTTAACGTGTTCTAATGGAATACTGTTTTGATATCAATACACCGTCTCAGAAAAATACACATGTATGCATGTAAGTTTTTTCTCCATCACTTACAATTACCTTACCTTCAAACGGAAATCTTATCAAAAAACTTATGACGAATTGACAAAATATTTACAGTACTGACTCAGAAGTACAATGTACTCACTTGTTGAAATTGACAATGTCGGGTTTCCAAACTTTTGATGGATCAAGATTGAGTGAATCCACGTCTTCATGGTAAGACTTGTCCCATTCTAGACGTGGGTCCTCCCACGATATCACTTGCCAAGTGTCAATCACCAAGAGATTGTCCACCTTTGAAATATTTTAAAAATCATACAAAGGAATAGTTTATATAAATGGCATTTCTGCCCAAAATTTAAAGTTTTCAAGCAACATGAGTAACAGAAAACTTCAGCATTTTTGACGATAAAACAGTGAACGGCAGCAGATTTTAAAAACCTATTTAATCTTGAAATCGTTGAGAAAATTTTGACAAACCATCTTCTAATTAGATTTCTGAAAACATTTTAACTTATTTTTCCCACTTCAAATTGTAGAATTATAGAACTTCATTCCCTTAAAAAAGAATGTGGATATACCTACCAGACTTATCACCCTGTTTATGGAGAGCTGATGGGAAACTTTTACGACTGGTTTTCGCTTTGTGGCAGGTCTGGCCTCACGATAGTATTCGTAAAACAAGTCATCCATGACGTTTGTTTCTGGAACTTCATACGCCTCTGTGAAATAAATGATTCAGAAATGATATTCTCATGCACTAAAACATCAATATTGTAATTTTTTGCCCACTGCTAGTGGGGTTGTTTTGTAAACTGTTAGTTCATATTTAACCAATGCCATAACCTTTGCAGGATTAAACCTGTCTATAGTTTATTTTGCACGTGTTCTCTCATTTTTTACCAGACTGACATTACAACTTTAAAATTTTATAGTTGTATAATAATTGTGGGATTTTTTTTATCACAGATGGGAATTTTCAAAAAGAAGTTTGACAAAACAGAAAAATCGAAACATGATATAAGGCTGAAAACTTGATAATCTATTGCAGCCATCCTACAATCTTGCATCACACGAGGAACGTTTCTCGTTTTTTGAGTGAGCTGTAATTATAGTGGGTTTTCGTTAACTGAAATACTTGAGTAGTAAATAAAGCATAAAAACTAAAAGCATGCACGAAACACGTAATCTAGGACAAACGTATTGATAAGATGTAAAAACAGACATTTAGGGTTCAAAGAAGATATTCTGTCAGAACTGAAAAGTATTCGAGGCACACAACAAGTGTCTGACTTAATTACAATGTATTCCTTAATAAATAAAATTATTTTACGTTTTGAAAGACATCCTTTAGATTTTAACTTCAATAAATCGTACTTTTATCAATTTGTCTCTCTGGTGCAGAAGCTTTTACGTCTGTTTATACATGTTATTCGACACATTGATATTTTGTTTTTTCAGAATTAATATTCAAGTACACAAATTGCAGTCAAAGTGATCAAGTTTGAGAATAAACGCCCCAAATCGAATGCAGAATTCAAAAGTAATACTTACCACAAATGAAAAGCACAAAAACGCAAAAATTGGCAATGAAATTTAGCATCTCCATTAAGTGAATTCAACGATATATAATTATACGATTTTTAAAAATTTGGGTATATCTTAAAAAATATCCCAAAAATCAATCAACTCAATTCAAGATGTCCAAAAAACGAGCATTCAGGAATGTCTTATGTATATTTAAAATAAGACAAGGAAACAAAACACCAATTCTCTTGCAAAACCAAAAACAAAGTAGTCTGAAACTGTGAGTGATGCCGCTATAACTGATTCGAAAATGGTTCTGTATAACCTTTAAAATAAATCAATTGATGTCAACAACAGGGGGCGCTTTAATCCATATTCTCACGCAAATTTCAACTCACCCCACTCAAACACGTGAGAGATTTCTGAACGAGGTCAATGGGTTAATTGTTTTTGCGTCTTAAATTTTATCATGTTGTGTAACGTTTGGTAAAATAATTAAAATATGTCCTATTACATCGATCGTATTATAGCTTTCTGGAAATTCACGCAATTTTTGGATTCAAAACTTACAAACCATTGAAAAATGCCACCCTTTTTTTTTTTTTTTTTTTTTTTGCTTTGAATTTCTTACCTTGGACTGGCGCTCTGAAAATCTACTTCTATTTTTGTTTTAAAGTTCTTGTTTTCCCAAACCTTAAATTTTGTCGTATATAGCAATTCTTAGAAAATCGTCAAGCAGAATGGTCAATAGAGGACATACCATAATCATTGCACCGGTCCCTTCTCGCTATTGAGTTTAAATTGAATTATATTTGATGGTCCAGTTGTACTTATTTCATGTATTATTTTTTATCGTTCACATGCCGGTACTGGAAGCATGTTACATGTAGGTATACATGATGTAAGCCTCCTTTTATTGATAGAGTTGACATCGATGCTTCATTGGTTTAAGGAAATACGCAAGGTACCTTACCTACTGATAATTTTTTTAAGATATTCTAAATTTAAACTTACAATACCATTACATGTTCTTAGACAAAAAATCAGCATGCGTTACCAGGGTTTTTGAAAAGATATCAAATTGTGAAATTTTTTTGCATTATTCAAAGGAAAATGTACAAAAATTACAAAACACATAAATTCCAGATTTTTTTTCATCAAAAATTGTTTTAGAAGAGGTGTACAAATCCATATATAAACATTAAAAGTATTGCACACGGGTTCTTCGTTTAGTGGAACTCTTCAACTCCAGGGAAGAACCCAATAAAGTTCAAACTACGTTGCTTATGACCTTAATTACCGAGAGGTGTAGAATCAAAGAATTAAAAACAAAGTGAGGATTGGGATGAGATAAATAAGGCTGAACCTGGCAACTTCGTTTCTTTGGAATTTACTGGTATTTGATACAATGGCGTATAATTAATGATCTGGGATATTACTTATATCTGAAAGATTATGGCTTAAGTTTTGAAATATCATATACTACTTGTATCTGAAAGATTCTTTTTGTTTTGAAACTTTTTTTTTTCAAAATTCCGATACAAATATATGAATCTTCTACCGATACAATCTTGAACGCATTTCAGACGGCGCGTACCTGCTGTTGTATGTAAGAAATCGCGGGCAATGACCTTCGGCACATCTATATCCATGCATTACGTCAGTTAAAAATGAGGGGTCATGACCTAACAATAAGTCTGGGTTTTGTTTTTGTTTTTTTTTTTTTAGTTTCACAAGCAGGGTAAATCCCCTTTTCCGACGCACACCTTGAAAAAGCAAAGGATCTTGACCCCTATATTTAGTGAAACAAAATGAATTCTCTGAATCCCATCTGAAAACATTTTCAGTTCAGTTTGATTAATTCTTTGTAAGAATCCACTGGCTATGGTTATGACATATACTCATATAGGCATGTTTTTTATCTTACCCCTTCTTGTTACATCTATTTGGTTAATGATAAATTTATTTTTAGTTCAGCAGGCATGTTCAGAAAGAAAGCTATTTAAAGATTCATGTTGTCCTATGAATACATGTACGGTTTATCTTAAATTAATATAATATATACTTATAGAAGTTGTGGTTACAATGTTTGACCAGTTGCGGCTGTTTTCTTGATAGTTGTTTTTTTTTTATCACTTCGCCCATGCAGAAGCTTCTGAATTTCCTATCTGGATTTAAAAAAAAAATCAGTATTCTTCTCTCAGAGACAATGGGACTGCTCATAGTCAATTTGTGTGACTAAAAGCATGCGCGGATCTAGAGGGGGGGGGCAGGACCCCCCCTTGGAATTTACTAGGTTAAAAAATGTATATACTAAAACAAGAAAAAAGTTACCATGGCCCCCCCTGGAAAACGCTGGTAAACGCGACTATGTGTGAAATCGGTATGAAAAGTGAAAGATTTGAGGCAATAGAAGTCACCACTAACACCCCCCCCCCCCCCCACCAAATAGGTTTTTTTTTTTTTACGTTTGGGCGAGTTTTTTTTTTGTTGTTTTTTTTTTGTGTGTTTTTTTTTTTGCTTGTCAAGAAATTTCTGAGATTGGATTTTTTTTTTTCCCCCCTGGAAAAAATTTCTGGATCCGCGCCTGAAAAGTGAAAAATATTCACTTTGTACAAAGATCGAGGACTTTATTCTAAATGTTTGTTTGCATGTCGAATGTTGTGTAGATACGTTACGGGTTCGAATCCCGCCACTGCCGGGGGGGGGGGGGGCGTGACGAACGGTCCTTCGGATGAGACCTTGTAAACCGCGAGATCCCTTGGTGCAGTAGGTGATGGCACGATAAAAATCTCTCACTGCTCAATCGCCTTAAGTGCCGAGTATATTAGGTCAAAAGAGTTCCTATCGAAACTGGCGTATTGCAGCTCTCCTCCGGCAAGTTGTGATCAATATATCTCCATACGCATAAATTAAAAATTATAGAGAGGAACGTTGAACAACAAACATCAACAGGAAACCCCTTCGTATAAGAAATAAATTTTGACCTTGACCTTTTGGCATGAAAATCAACACCAACTATGGTCATCTTTATAAATGTCATTTGGAGTTGTGATAAATAGGCCTATTACATGTCATCAAAGGAACTGAAAGTTACCATCCGGAAAAAATGGCGTTTTATAAAGCGTAAAATTTACTTAAGCTGTCCGTACCATGGTTACACAGTATAACTTGGATATCTATATTTCCAGCCTTGAACTTTGACTTCAAAATCACTCAAGTGATCACGAGATTATTCTTTGGGTCATAGGATTAGCTAGGAGATTGTGGGGGAAAGTAATTGAAAAGCTCAAAACTTGTAAAAATGTCCTTTAAGGTAGGTCCATACTTTCAAAATTTTCTGTAAAACTAATAATTTTTTAATTTGAATACCTTGAATAAATCATAAACTAGCTTAACATCCATAAAAGACATATCTTTGCAGGTTAATTTTCATACAACATATCTCAGAGCATATACCTCTAAAAACTCAACGTCCAAAATTGAACATAAAGAAGTGTGATATCATATTTTATTTAGTTATGCACCAAATCACATCAAATTTATGTTAAAACTTATGAAGATCAAAAATATTCATTTCCCAAGAGAATATTTGAAATCTTTACTGCAAAACATTAGCAAATTGATGTTGAATCTGTCCATGTCTTTCAGAAAAAAATCTCAAAATATCTTTATTTTTTTTAATTCTCAAAATCCAAACTGTTTCGATGCCATTTTTTCTTTTAAACTATCATATTATATCTAAAGTTAACAAAAACACATACTTAAAGTTTATTATGGTTGACCAGAGAATTTTAACAAAACAGTCTTTTGAAGACATATATACCTCCATTTTTGGAATATCAATTTTTTCAATTATTCATTGCAAAAAAATAAATGGATGAAAAGGCTTAAAATCGTTGAAAATAGATCCCATGTTAGTTTGCTAAAAAGAAAATTAAAAAGATTTAGGTTTAAAAAAGCAATTATAAGAATTTTGAGTCTGTGTATGTCCCAAATGACATACAGATCTTATGGACAGAATGCAAAGTGTTAATTTCCATAAATAATGTATATTAAATGCTTTGTATGCACATGCAACACTATAATAAACAAATATGTACTTGCTAAATTATTTTCAATCACCCAAAAAGATTTTATTTCAATAGACAAGTGAAAATCAGAATTTTACATTGATTTGTAAGATTAAAAACGGATCCGTTAAAGTATGGGCCTTCGTAAAAAACATACAAACGGAGTGATGGACAGAAAAAAGCACTAGGGCCTAATCCCATTTTCAGTGACTGAGTGAAAGTGGGGTATCGAAAAGAAAAAAAAGAATATTCCCCGTTTGCTATTCTTTATAATCGCATATGTCTTCCGTGATCACTTGAAAAACAGGAAGTGTGGAAGTTATTACAGCTTTTGTTTTAATGTATGGTGTCTTTCTTTTTTCATGACCAGAATAAAAATTCACGAGAACCCGATATGATATAAAAAAATGAATTTTAAAACGCGCGCTCGTTTCAACTGAAGATGATAATCTCAGAAAATGTCGTCATAACGCGAGATCAGATATTAATCCGCTTACCGGCATATTTTCCAACAGGATTTCTTTGATAAGAAAATATTATATGTTTTCATATAATGTTTAATATGAGAAAATTATTTTATCAGTAGTATAACACTTTTATTTTGTATCACACTCGTATTTTGAAAAAATATACGGACTATTTTGTCCGCCATATTGCGGAATCGGTTAAGGTCACCGCCATAGCTTCAAAGATGCGGGTGACTGGAAATTCCAGAAGCCCCCCCGTTTTTTGGAGAATACCCATAAAGAAGGGTAGAAGCCACAATAAAGTGGTAGAAGCCCCATAAAATTGAATGAAATGCGGTACATAAAACCCTAAGGTGATGTTTAAATGAATGATATCGATATCCGTAAATTTTTATAGCCAATTTTACCTCAGAGTCGACAGAAATCGGGCGCCATTACTGGTTTACCGTACACCACGCCCGATCTAATTTCGAAGCGAGCTGCTGTTTATCATCGTATAGATAAAGCTAAAATTATTCATTTTAATTTAAATATGTTTTTTATGCAAGATATTTATCAAATATTATGTAATAAATATATATTTTTTATATAATTAAGAACGTTAGCCATTAAGATAATTTAAGATTTTTTTTATTTTTGAGATTTTAGAGAAATTCATAATTTAGAGATATGATTATATCAAAAAGCTTTAAAGCAACAACAATAATAAAAATAGTAATGATAATTAATTAATAATTACTTATATGTTTCAAAGAGAACAAAAAAAAATTCAAAGTATGAAAATACTGAATTTATTTTTGAGATTTTAGACAAATTATGAATTTAGAAATATAAAAATATGAAATTCAAGGGTTCAAAGCAATAATAATAATAATTAAATTTTAAAAATGAAAATAATAATAAATTTTATTATATAGTCTATTTATAGTCCCTATATAATCTATACAAACGCAAACAGTTCATAACACTACATATTCACCGGATTTGAGGCCGTATTCACCGGAGGGTCAATGCGCGTGCAACGGCATTGTGACGTCACAATCAAAATATCAAACAACGTTGTAAACAATGGTTGCAACGGCCGCAGCGATCTACGTATCTGAACAGAAAAACAATTATTTAAACCAATTTCAGGATTATTTCAAACATTTGGACGTCTTACACATAGCAAGATTCGGAAAGGAAAACACGGATGTAACAAACAGTAATTTGGAGATTTTTTTATTCTCAGCAATGGAAGATTACAAATGAAAATGGTGTCGTCATACAGCCTTCAATGTCTTATTCCCGACTATATAATAAAACAATTATGGACTCTTTTGGTGTTGAATATGGTTTAATTGTTATTCACCAGAAAAATATCCATATTGACCTCGGCTTCGCCTCGGTCAATATGAATATTTTTCTGGTGAATAACAAACCATATTCAACACCAAAAGAGTCCATAATTGTATAATATGTTAAAAGAGAACAAAAAGTAAATCAATGTCAAAATATGAAAATATTGAAACCTGGAAAGAAATTGTAAATTAAAAGAATATATCAATTTTCAAATATATAGATATTTTATTTCAAAATAACCTCTTTATGTTCTGTTCTTAGAAAAAAATTCAGATGTTTTAAATATTTTACATCAGTTGTTTACATTTTGAATTGTCTTTAAATTAAAAGAAATATGAATTTTAAAAAAAGTAAAGTAAAATAAATCACACCACAAAATAAAATATAACAGAATTTTTATTTGAATTTTAACTACGAAAAAATCTCAGTCTGGTTAAGTGAACTGAAAATCTTTTATCATCTCCAAGCTTCTATAGGTATTTTATGTAATTTTACATTTCATTGCCAGTTGAATCTGTTGACTAAAAATTTCCATTGCCTCTCTGTTCAAACTAATCCCATCTTTAGCCAAATGTTTTTATTTGAATTCATTAAACCCCTACATCTCCAAAATATCACATTCTGAGAATTCCACATATTTCCTTCGTAGTGTGTTATTTATGTCAAAAACAGTAGAATTGTACTTTCCTGGATCCATGGTTCCACAAATCATTTGCCTAAACAGACTTCAGATAAATATTTTCTGAACCGAATCATTTCTTAACAGTTTTTTCAAAAATGTTTTGGATTCCTAACACTATATCTGACAGAGAAGATGAATATATATCTTTTTCTCCCACTTGCAGAAACACTTTTAAACCAGTCTTAAACCATTAAAACCCCACAATGTTCTTAAAATTGTATATTTATTATTTTTTCTAGAGTAGGGTTAGTATCAGGCAGTATTCCTCCCCCGCCAGACGGGTGCAGACCAGTGAATACTGTTTGGTGTTGTGTTAGATTAGGTTAGGTTTCAGGAACATTTTTTTTTAATGTTGCCAATTAAATTATAAATTCCTTTCTATGAAATTTTTTATAATGTTATTTAATTTTATGTCAATTTCTTTCATGGTTGTAATATGTTTATACATGAACAAAAGATTGACTAGGAATAATGATATTGTATCTTTATTAAAATAAGTCTTTTTAATTTTTTTTAATTATCTTTTAATCTTTCGGTCCTTTGATTTTAATATTTATCTAGCTGTTTCAAAATTCAAATCATGGCTTTACAATTAAGGAGGCCCCCACGTGGCTAGAGCTGGGACATAAGGAAACTATATGAATATTTTCCAAGTATTACTAATTTAAAAAGTCTTTATTAATTTATCATTATTAATATTAGTATCAAAATTATCAAATTCATATTTTCCTTATTTTCCTTATGTGTGTGCTAACGCTTAAAATGAAAATTTGTATTTAAAAGCATATTACCATTTCATATCAACATTATTTAGAAAAAAGATTATATTATATTACAAAATCATTTATTTTACAATTTGATAATGAACGTCAAGAACAATTAAACATAGTCAAGGTTCACTGTATATATACACATGCCCTGCCAGAGTGGGGTTGGTCAGACTAGCTGAGAACAGGTGTTTGATCAAAAGAAGTTTATTGTCAACTTGAACCAAGTGTCAACAGCTGTGTATATATTGCATGTACACACACAGGGGTGCCTCTCTATCCCAGTACATAACAACACAACTAGCTGATGTGTAAATAATATTCTAACCATATTCTCATAACACCCACTTTACAAGTGATTGCATAAGCAATTATGCACATTTTATTCATTTTATGTAACTTTTTTATTTCCTGGATTTGGATTCTAATAATTTCATTCTAATGTATACATATTGCTTTCTAAGATCAATGAGTATAATTTGTTCTATTACATGAACAAAAAAATGATAAAAAAAAACTCCCCCAAATAAAACAGAACCCCCAAAATAAAAATTACAACAAGTAACTGGAAAATAATAATGAATGCATGAATACTGAATTTCAAATATAAATAAACAATTGGAAGAAAAAAAAAACCCAAAACAAATACCTTTGAAATTAAATAAATTAACAACTTAAATCACTTTGTTCATTAATTTATGTAACTTAATTTATATTATAAATGATTGGAATTTTAAAAAAGGAACTTTATTAATTATTTTTGCCTAGTTAAATTCATTTAAAACACCCACTGTTACAGTAATCTCTATCAACATGTTAAATCTCAATGTTTTTATGTAACAGTACACATCATCTATACAAATATTTTCATATTTTCAATAATGATTTTCGATATAAAATTCTTTTTGGTAGGTACAAACCAGTGTGGATAAAAGTATTCAAGTAGGCCATGTAATATTTTCATAATTAATATTTTATTTCATTTAGGAAATATGTAAATATTTAAAGCTTCATTTATATTCTTAACTTTCCTTTCATATATTTTTTAAAAAAAAATAATATTATTCACTTTTGATCAAGATAATGGTAATGATGTAAACGACTTCAGCGATCGTGATTTTAGATCGGGCGTGGTGTACGGTATATGAAGACAAGAAGAAATGGCGCCCGACTTCTGTCGACTGTGAGGTAGAATTGGCTATAAAAATTTACGGTTATCAATATCATTCATTTTAACATCACCTTAGGGTTTTATGTACCCAATTTCATTCAATTTTATGGGGCTTCTACCACTTTATTGGGGCTTCTACCCTTCTGTATGGGTATTCTCCAAAAAACGGGGGGCTTCTGGAATTTCCAGTTACCGCAAAGATGCCGAGAAGTGTGGAAACAAGATGTAATTTTCGAGCGATTTCAACGAGTTGTAAATCGATATAAATGTCAAAATTAGTATATTGTAACACTGTATATTCTGTTTAATTCAATTAGTGTATCATAGACCAACTTGGATCGTTTAGTTGGCCAAAAACCTGTCTGTTTATATACTAGGTAGGTGTGCCTGTTTTATGAATATTTGTTTTCACACCGCCCCTAGGTTTCTAGTTTAGGTGTAAAGACCTTATAACTTATTGTCAGTGGAAGAATAAACTCCAGACTGAAAGTTATGTATTGTAAAGATTATTTTACAAGTAATACTTGATTAAGAAAGATTTTCTCTAATTTTTAACACAACCTCAGCCTGTTGAGCAGGTTTTAAGTTTCCTGTTCATTGAAGGTCCTGTTAAAAATAAATAATTATATAGAATTGTAATAGCCGTCCATCATCCACCTGGCTGGCATTGATAAAGTCATACAGTAACATATATACTTTCCCTCTTGTGCAGATATTCTTTACACAACAGCCAGTCTAAGTGGTGTCTGTGCAGTCACTGACTGATTGAGTCAGCTTAAATTAGGAATTGTACTCAGTGATAAATAAACACATACTAAAACTGCCATTTAGTCTATTGTGAAATGTTATACTGATCAGTGCTTCCATAATTGCATGCGTCTAAGTGCACTATGCTTTGTCGGTAGGGATGTGCGATTTTATCGGTATACCGGTATATCGCAATTTTTTGTTGCGTGATACGTATCGTGATACGGAAACCTAAATACCGGTTTTTAGGTACATATTATAAAGTCCAGAAATTATTCATTTATTTGTTCAATCTTTCAAATTACAATTACAGAATGTATAGAAAAATGTTGTAAAAAGTGAAAAGAACGGCATCTTACCGTCCAAACATAATTGATTTTATGTACATAAAAATTTCAAGAAAGTAAAATTTTGTTTTTCTAGCATATTTTAAAAAAAAAATAATGACTTTTCATATAAAATCATTGTATAAACTGCTTTTAAAAATATCATGATATTATCGTGATATTGTGGGAAAAAATCGTGATATATCGCGATACGAAATTTTCGGCGATACCCATCCCTATTTGTCGGTCATTCATAATTGGGATTGTCACATACTAAAGATTTATGTCAATATCTCATGTAATAGCCATAGATGTAGTTTCATTTTTATCCCCTCGCAGCAAAGTTGGAGGGGATAATGTAATGTGCTTGTGTGTATGTGTTTATATTTGTTGTTTTAGTGTTAAACGGAAATGATGCATGAGGATTGATGTCAAAATATGCCTTGATTTATAGATCTATATATGCTCTTTGCCGAGATGATGCTTCGCTTTGCAGTACCCTTGTTTCAATTTAAAATACTTTGAATCAGTGTAGAATGAGTAAATAATATGTTCGTCTTACTATACTGTCATTAGTGCAGGGTTCGACACTAACATTTTAGGCTTTGGTCCGGCGGGACTAGTGCTTCTTTACTTTTACTAGTCCGTGGTCAATTTTATGAGCCTGTCAAAAATGAAAATAAATAAATAGAGCTACGATCGTATTCCAGATCTCATTCGTTTTTCTCTAGGCCTATACATAATTACATCATCTAAACATCCAACATCTTTCTTTATGTGTCATACTAAATCATAATTGCTAAAATGTTTAATTTCATACAAATGAGCAATCTCTACCCCGAATTGTCGTTTGCTTCACTAAGTGGAACAATAACTCTGTGTAGAGATTGACCAATGAGTCCTAAAATTAAGCACCGAATTGACTGAATTACCTAACTTTCCGCCGAGAAGCTAGAAAGCTTAAAATAAATATGGGGTTTTCCAGTGAAAGTTGTCGAAGATTTGAACATCAGTAAATTCTTTTTTCCCCAGAAAACTTTATTAGTCTGTTCAGACTAAATGGCTACAATTTTTATTAGTCCAAATGAAAATGTATTAGTCTGAGACTAACGGACTAACGTTAATGTCAAACCCTGTAGTGATTCAGATTGAACCCTGTACACAGAAGAAATAGTAGATATTGTATACCAAGTCATGCCATGGATGTGATAGTGCATAATTAAGAATAGTCCAGATCTGTGAAGTTTCAAAGCATAGAAAATATTACACTAGAAATATGATTATAGCTCAGAAGAGATTTTTTTATTGTAACGTGTATAACACACATGTATAGTTCATATAACCTCTATGTGCCTTTATAGAAGGTGGGAGGAAGGGTTCATTTTTTTTTTTTAAATTGTGTGCATACACGCAACAGATTACCACTTCATAACAATACAGTGTTTTCCCTAAGAACCAGCTACCGGCCAAAATGACTGCTTCAATTGACAAAAATGTCATTTTGATATAAAAGGTCAAAATTTATCTGTTGTAAGGTCCACAGATATTTTGTTTATAAACCTCAGACCCTAGCCTAGCTGTTACAACTGATCTCTAACCCTTTCCTTTGAAATAGAAGGAAAACACTGAACACACCCTGAATTTGTCATCTTTTGTGGTTTGAAAAATTTAAATCACTATTGTATCAAACATAGCAGAAGTTTGAATTTTTACCTTTTCATGATTATATTATACAATATATTACATCTGGATGTGACATCATATTGTAAGATAAAAGTTTAATGCATTATTTTATGTTGCTGTATTGAAAATCATAATCTATTTATACACATGATATAAAGGATTTACATTTAACATGTTTAATAGTTTATAAATACCACACTTACTTCTACATATATCAATACTTGTGAACACGTAACTGCATGATTATGGAGTAATTATAATTATTACCAGGGGTGTATATGAGACTATACACACTATACTATTTTTTAATGTCTTAAAGCTGTTGTTATCTTACATCTACAGAATTCCTCATTTAGGTGCTGATGATATTTTATGATATGGATGCTTCCTTTTTTTTTCAGATGCCAAAATCTGTTGAGACAAGATGGGGAAGCTACTTTCTAAGATATTTGGGAACAAGGAGATGAGAATTTTGATGCTGGGGCTAGATGCAGCAGGAAAAACCAGTATCCTTACTAGTTTGGGGTTTATTCATGTTGTATAGTTTTCTGATATATAAGTTTCCATATATGCATACATGCTACTTGTAGGATCCCATTATTATTTTTTTTTTCAAATAACACAAAGCAAAAAAAAAAAACAAACAAACAAACAAAATAGTGTATTTCACTACATATTCTCTAATAATGTGGTGAGCATAAGAAGCTACCTTCATTTTAAAACAAAATGTAATGTCAAAAATTCTATAAAAGATTCAGTATTTTAACTATAGGGATCTTTTTGATTTATGTGTACATAAACTAACTTTTCCATATTTTAGCATAATCAATGGGTATGTAATGGTTGGCTTAATCATGAATTTTTGCTAAACAGTGTTTATTAATTTAAGAAATCTTACAGTGTAGGGAATTCTATTTGTAACATGCTTTATAATGAAGTATTGACCATTATTTCCATCAAGTAAAGGGAATTATTTTATTGAAATGCTTTAGTGCCTAATCAATATTTATTAAAAATTGATTCACTTGTCCATCTGGCCAGCCTATGTATAACACTGGTACATTGTAATGTCCCAGTGTCATTGAATACAAGTTTAGAAGCAATTAAGCATTGTTGAAAATCAAATGGATTTACAGATGCAATAAATCAAACTTTTTTCTTGTTGATTATGAAAAAATTTTCTGTTTTTTCCTAAATTTTTTTATTGATATTTTCAAATTTGTGATAGTTCAGTAGGCAAAAAGACACATTTTGATGCTAATTTGTTTTTCTATGTCCTTTGGTTTGGAGCTGGGTGGTATTTAACTTTATATAAGAATGAATTGGCAAAGAGAGATAATTTATATTTCCCATTGTAAACTGAATACTAATGAATGAGTCCCTTGGGATTAATTAGCTTTCCTCCTGTAGAAAATCCAAATATCTTTATCTGTCACATTGAGATTAATTACCACCTCTGCCAAATGTTTTTTTGAAGTTAAGTCCATTTGGCAATGCTATGAACACTCTGAAATGTGGATTGAAGATAAATGTTTTTACTTTATTTTTGTTGAAATACATTTATTTTTTTTTTATTATTATTACTTCATGAAAATTCAAAAGGAATTTTTAAAAAAAAAACCTCATTCTATCATTACTGAAAAAGTTCTTATTATAAATTAAGAATAAAATGATGAGAGAGAAGTACAATTAATCCCTTTTAATTATTTGGCCTGCTGCAGAAAATTTAGAAGGCTTATCTTTATCTGTCACTTTAAGATTAATGAAAACCTTTGTCTGCAACTGCTGTTTGTTTTGAAGTTAAGGTCATGCCTTCATGATATATATTTGCATTCATTGAAGGCTGGCATTTTATATAACAAAAGCTTCACTATTATTTAGATATACATTCAGTGTTGAGTTGTTCTTTACAGCCTTATGTAAAATAAATACAAGGATATTATTTACAGGTTTTGGGATATTCAGGAGTTATCTTGAAATTTTAAGAATACAGTTGTTGTTTCTTATTCGTCATATATTTTTTAATCATTCCATAAGCTGCACCCTTATAATTCTACCCCATGGCGGGGCCCTTGCTGACTGGTCAGTTTTCTAGTTGAAAATCAAATGGATTTACAGATGCAATAAATCAAACTTTTTTCTTGTTGATTATGAAAAAATCAAATTCTTGATATTTTCAATTTGTGATCAGAATACATTATAATTTTCTCATTTAGACAGATTATTTAAATCAGAAACGCAACAAAATAATTTATATTCAGTTTTCCCGTAATTTATTTTACCAGGGCTGCTAGTGTACCTAATATATTGTGGAGATGGACCATACACTGCCATGTTTTTATTGGAATCAAAGTGGCAGATGTTTAGGTCTTAGTTACTGTATTTATTTATTTGATGAAATCATGATTTAGTGCAGTATTACCTGAATGAAAGGATGTTAAAAAAATTCAACCTGCTCTCAGGTACACATACATTAATTTTTAGCTCTACTGGTCAGAGACCAGAAGAGCTTATGCAATAGTAATGCGTCCGTCGTCCGTCCGTCCGTCTGTCTGTCTGTCTGTCTGTCTGTAAACAATTTTTCAAAATGCTACTCCTCCTACAGTTTTGGTCTGATTTCAATATAACTTGGCACACAAGTAGACTACACTAAGATACATAATTCTGTATATCGGTTTTTGATTTTGATGAACGGTGTTGCCGTGGTTACTAAAAATAGAAATTTCTGTGAAATTCTTTCAAAATGCTACTCCTCCTCCAGTTTTAGTCTGATTTCAATATAACTTGGCACAAAAGCAAACTACACTAAGATACATAATTCTGTGTATCGGTTTTTGATTTCGATGAACAGTGTTGCCGTGGTTACTAAAAATAGAAATTTCTGTGAAATTCTTTCAAAATGCTACTCCTTACAGTTTTAGTCTGATTTCAATATAACTTGGCACAAAAGCAGACTACACTAAGATACATAATTCTGTGTATCGGTTTTTGATTTCGATGAACGGTGTTGCCGTGGTTACTAAAAATAGAAATTTCTGTGAAATTCTTTCAAAATGCTACTCCTCCTACAGTTTTAGTCTGATTTCAATATAACTTGGCACAAAAGTAGACTACACTAAGATACATAATTCTGTGTATCGGTTTTTGATTTCGATGAACGGTGTTGCCATGGTTACTAAAAATAGAAATTTCTGTGAAATTCTTTCAAAATGCTACTCCTCCTACAGTTTTAGTCTGATTTCAATATAACTTGGCACACAAGTAAACTACACTAAGATACACAATTCTGTGTATCGGTTTTTGATTTCGATGAACGGTGTTGCCGTGGTTACTAAAAATAGAAATTTCTGTGAAATTCTTTCAAAATGCTACTCCAAATACAATTTTAGTTTGATTATAATATAAATGTGGCATGCAAGTAGACTGCACTAAGAACATAAAGAGACTTAATCAAGGATCATTATTCTATTTATTGCTGTTGAAAAGTTTCAATTTCCAACTGCTTTAAATAAGTACTTTTCTCTTGCTTTTCTATAAGTACAAACCAGTAGAGCTTCAGTCTCGACAGAGACTTCTGGTTTTAAGATGCATTAATAAATTCTGTACACTGTACTACTTGAAAATCTCAATTGACAATCAGAAGGCGATTTAGAGTGTTTATTTAATTACAGTTTGAAATAAGGTCCATTTGATAGGTAATTGAATTGAATGCATAAATAATCAAAAGCCATCAACACTTCTTGACCCAAATTTAGTGACAGACTTTGATCTGGGAAATAAATTTTCACTAGATTATTCAGCATGTTCAGGTAGCATTCCAGGTCAGTTAGGGTTTATAGTTAGTGAACTTTAAAGTTAAAATAATGAAAGGGACAAACTTGCAAGAGGTAGAAATACTTGGTTTAAGGCTAATTCTTATAACAAAATGAATCGATTCAAAGGTTGACTACCATTTAGAATAAGATTGGGAATATAAATATATTTCCAGTTACTGAGTTAAACAAAAATATGAGAAACCTCTTTCCATTCTCACCATGGGGGAAAAATTAAATTGGACATTTTGTTGTAACTTTAAAAAAGATGCATGTGTCTGGTGTCTGAGTAGAGAACATTGAAGCACACACTACAAGTAAAAAATCTGTGGTTGGTGAAGAGAAATGCCTGAGGTCCTTTGACATGTAAAATATTTTCTCCTTGAGTAAAGCACTACTTCGACTAAAACGCATACTTCAGTGGTTTGTTTCCTTAACACTGACTAGCTATACTTTACAAATTGAAGCTGGGCCAGTCTGTGACCACTATTCCAACTGTAGGATTTAATGTGGAGACTGTCACTTATAAAAATGTTAAATTCAGTGTCTGGGTAAGTAGAGAGAACAGCGGAAAAAAATAACCGTGATTAAATTGGATGGTGTGAGCAAATTAGTGTGCAGGAAGTATTGGTCCTTTTTTTTCTAACCTTTCCCAAGCAATTTTTTTTATTACTACAGAATACTGCTTCCTTTTGTATGTTCAAGTACCATATATAATTTGATAATAGTAATGATAACTTGCTAAATTTTGTGTCATGTTTATCTTTTTAAAAAGGATCATTTGTACATTATTTGTAAATTATTTCAAATATTAAGTATTTCTTAAATCTCTGAGTCATTTTGATAGTGATGACTGATGACTAAATTACTTTCCCCTTTCCAAAACTGAAACTCCACCCCTTTTATACATGTATATATTTAGTTATGAATCAGTTATTTCTAATAATAGATATGTTGTACTGTAAATGGACTCCTCTTGTATGATCAGTAGACACACAGAGTTATCTTGTTCCAAACGCAGTGTTAACCCACTAAACACTTGGTGCAAATGAACATAATGAATGTCAGAGCTACTTCTACTATTTGCATGTTTTACACATGATGAATTGGCAGTGAATGTGACATTTAAATAAGGATGATGAAAAAGGGGTTTTTGATTTTCATATGTACATGTATTCTGTATTGAAACATTTAATTTTTAGTGCATTAGTGTATTAATTTACATGATTAAAAGACTATTTAGTAAGGATTTTAGGAGAGAGGGTTGTTAATATGAGGGGAGGCAGGGCTCTCACATCCATTTTTGGTACTGGGGCCGGGGCCATTGACATTGGGAAAAAAGCGACGTTTTTATAAAAATTGGGAAATTTTTACCAGTCATAATTTAAACTGACATCATTTTGCATTGCCTTGCTCTTAGAAGAAATATTTTTTCTACACTGACAACAGTACCACAGGGATCAAACTTAACTTTTTGACCACTGTAGTAAATATCAGCAGATTTATTATTACTATCAAATTGTAATTTTGAACTTTTCCTAGCATTTTTTCTTCATACAAGATTTAAATAATCTATTTTAAAAAATAATAATAATTAACCTCTTGGAATCATTTAGGCCATTTTATTACAGATGAAATCTGAACAGATACAGAGTAAATCAGTTGTTTAATTAAAAAAAAATCATCTTTATAAATTTGAAATTAAATCATTAAATACACTGGGGATATATTTTTTTGGAAAATTACATAATTTTCTTACTCAAGTTGTTTTAGAGATCGTAAATAATATAATGGAATATCTAACGTTACATTGTGTCTGATTGTATTTACCATAAAGAAAGGAGTGGAGGAAATTCGGATTAAAAAAACGATCGTTTTTGGAAGTAAATTATAAGACAGGTAGCGCTGCAAAATGGATAAGATTATGGGGATTTATAAACTGTAGGAGCATGGTACCTATTTATTTTTATTTGTTAGGGAATCTAATAGCAAAATAGTGAATAAAATACCTGTAGGCCTAGTGCTTCTCATTCAGTCTTGGTAATCTGAATTTTTTACAAGACCTTTTTTTCTGACAAAAGGTGGCGAACACAGGTCGCTTTTAACTCGCAATTTTTTATTTTAATTCTCATTCAAAGAGTATTTTCCGTTAATTTCGAGCCCTGACATCATAGATCTTCACATGCTGCGACATGTTGTGAATGAACTTTACTACAGACGACTTTCGTTTTTATTCTAAAATGGTTCCAGCATATAAACAAACTACCAGTTCATAACACGAACGTCTTTCCTTCATATCTTAACAGTGCTTTTACGACTGTCAAAGATATGCTTTTTTGTTACAGTAATGAATTTGAAGCAATCAATAAATTGGGAATTTTTACCCTTAAATTTGGGAAAAAGGGTACCTTTTTCACGTTGGGAATGGGGCCGAATATCGGCCCCAATTATAGAGAATCGAGAGGCCTGGGAGGGGAAAATAGGACTTTAAATAAGTCAAATACAGATTAAGATTTGAATTTTGATAATGTCAAGTTCAAAGTATTGTATGAAAACATGGTTATGTCAGTATTGAGTCAATATAAGGTCTTATGTAGAATTCAAAGGTCATAGATAAAATATTTTGTTTAGATTTGCTGAAAAATACCCTCATGAATGTGGAAACATTTGAATATGAACAATAGAATGATTGTTAGAGGACATACTTCTGACCCCACTCACTTATCCCTATTAATTAAACTAAATGCAATAATTTGACTGTTTGGGATGCTTATACACTCGATTGTGTTATTGCGTTACTTCTACTTTTCCTCTATTCTAATTCTGCAGAGATATAGAAAGTTTTCAGTACTTTCCTGCATTATCCTTTGACATTTCCTTTGATTCTCGCAAACACTGAAGGAAGTAGTATGCAAAAGTTGAGAACATTGTAACTCTAGCATGATATAGGACATCATTTCCTGTTTGATAGTTTTATTTGTATACAACAATTATAGTTATAATTTTACACTTCAGGAACTATTTAGAATTGTTAAATTTATTTCATTCAGTTCACGAAAGGGCTGGCGCTGCATGCTGTAAATTCACTAAATTGTATTATAAATTTTGCATACAATTGTAGGTAAATCAATACATGTATATGTTTATGTTATTGGAATATAATTACGTAGATAAGAATACGTTAAATTGATAAAGTAGTACATCTTGAAGGTTAAGACATACAGGAAGTTTGATATATCATAATTAAGAAGGGTAGATGTGCAGGCAGTATCTGTACATTGATTTGATGGTGTACTAGGGTCTGAAGATCAGGGTGTAACAATACACTGGTACAGATTGCCATTATTAAATACCACAGTGAGATAGGAAGGGCAATAGACAATCATCTTCTACATGTGATTGCTTCCTTATCTCAGAGCTGGCAGTGCTACATATAGATAACTGTTTCCCATCATGAGCTTACTAAATAATTTCAGAAAATGGGCTCAGTTAATTCAAACAAATTATTTTCAAGCCTTGATTATCAAAAATTCTTTTTTTTTTCCTTTTTTTTTTTTAATTTTAATTATTTACTCAAAACTCAGAAACAAATATCTACATGTAGTTGATTCTTTCTAACAGTTCATACCCATAATAATTGAAAAAAAAATATAATATATGAGTTTCCTTTTGTAAATAAATATCTTTAAGGATATATGAGTTATCATTTGTAAATAAATATCTTTAAATTAACACTAAAATAACTATGTTTTCCTTTGAAATGTATATGTTTGATATTTGTGTCAGACATGCACAATGAAAAATAACCAGTCCAAGTTGCCTGATATATTTTATAAATTGATCCGATGAAAAGCATGTCAAATTGATCTGGTGTTTATTTTTTCTAGGATGTTGGGGGACAGGACAAGATCCGTCCATTATGGCGACATTACTACACTGGTACGCAGGGCCTTATATTCGTAGTGGACAGTGCTGACCGTGACAGAATCGATGAAGCGAGACAGGAACTTCATCGTATAATTAACGACAGGGAGATGCGTGATGCCATCATCCTTGTGTTTGCTAATAAGCAGGACTTACCTGATTGTAAGTTAAAGCAGGCTCTGTTATGCTGCCTTATGCCTTATTATGTGCTCATGTTGGTCAAGCACTTGATTCATAGTTGTTGAAGAAAGATTTAAAGATTTTCAAACATCTTGATCACAATAAGTACGGTAGATGCCCAAATAGACAAGCTCCAGTATCAAGAAAGAAATTGACAGATTTGCTTTGGAGATATTTTTAGAACTCGACTTGTTGTCTTCATAAAGTGTCACTTATCAGTAAGATTTGATTATTGTGCGGAAGGTTTCGACTTTCAGTGCAATTGTTAGCAAAAATTGGTATCCTTGCAAAGTACATGCCTTAAAATGAGTCAGAATATTGAATACATACATATTGAATATGATATATTGAGTATCAAGTTAAAATGATCTTCTGCATAAACAAGATAAATAGACAAATCTTACTGTTGAATTGGTAGAGAACTACCAGTAGCAACTGTACTGGGTATGCTGGAGTGTAAAGTGTAGTGCAGGTGTACTTTGATTTAAATATTTGATAATTTTAATTTTTAAATTTCTTTTTCTTATATGAATTTGTAACTGACGATTTTTCTTTCACTTTACAGCAATGAAACCACATGAAATTCAGGAGAAATTAAGTTTAACAAGACTTAGGGACAGAAACTGGTATGTACAGCCAGCGTGTGCGACGTCAGGAGACGGACTGTACGAGGGCCTGACCTGGCTAACATCAAACCACAAATCTTGACCTGCTGATTTATTTTAAGTCATTGTCTATCCTATTGTATACATTAAAATGATTCACTTTCAACGTCTGTGGCAGTGTTAACAATCTGCAGGAAAAATACTTATAGTCAGAAAAACTGAAGAAAACGGAATAAAAACTAAAGGTCAGCAGGCCCATTGTCCTCCTCGACTTAAAAAGACACTCCGAGGGAAGAGTGAAAGGAGAGGGAGGAATTTTTAAAGTGATCAAAAGGCATGGGTATTTTACAGCTTCAACACAGATCTGCAAATAAACCAGCTTCCAGGCCATGTAGTATACCAACATTGTGTATGTTTATTTTCCCCTTTTTTGTCGGATCATTGCTGATTAGTCTGCTGGTTATTATTATCAACCTATGTACTTCTGTCACTTTTTGTTTGTTATTGGTGGAATGTATTGAATGGAGAAAATGGTATTTTTTTTTTGTGTATAAAAATCATCTTGTTATAAAAAATGCGTAATGTGGAGTTGATTCATTTGAAGGAAATTTTCAAGATTTTTTTTTATCTCCTCTGTGTGATAAAGCACAAGGTTATAAAGATGTTCCTTTGATAAAAAATGATCATTTTATTTCAATTGCACTTGTGCTTTTCAATGATTTAAAAAGAAGACTTAATGGATCGCCTAGTTTGCACAACCTTGAATGTTTGGTATGCCTGATTATTGATGGATATTTTATGCCTCAATGATTTTATTTCTTTTGTGATGAAAGTTATTATTTTTAATACATTTGCCATCTTCTTTTAACATGTTTCACTTTCAACTATCAGGAAAAAATGAACTGCTTTATGATTAAAGCAATGAATAGCTTTTTGAATTTTTTAAAAATGAAAATATCACTA